AAGGAAGAATCAACTACGTTCCCTGAATCCTCACCACAGTGCCTGTGTGCTTACCCCAGGCACAGGGCACACCATGCTTCTGAGTTAAGAGATCCTTAAGAAGATATGTCCTTGACAATGCCTTTGAGAATTTGTTATATGTCTCTCTGCTGATGGTATCTAGGAGGGATAGATGTCTCTTTCATTCATTAGATGTATCTCAAAGAAGAAGTCCAGATGTTAGACTGTCCTCTTTCTCCATTTTAAAATCCTCACTGGGATCTTGCTTACGTGGGCAAACATGTTGGTCATACCTTCCTCTGAGATTTTGAAATTTTTTTAATATGCAATGTCAGTCACAAGACTCAGAGGTTTGTTTTTCTTGTAGCATGGTGCTTTTTATTGTAAGGATATTGAGATGACAAGGGACCACCTAAAGGGACTAATGGTTTGTAGTTATGCATGTTCCACTTGCATTTCAATGACGCTTAGTTCTAAAGGTCTCAACTCCAATATTAAGATATTACTTAATGAGTCTTCTAAACGTGTCATGTTACTAGAATGTTCTGGCACCACAGATGGAAGGAGAACTGTCCTGACAGCACCCAGTTTTCATGTGGATGTCCTCAAGTCAGTCAGTCTTGAAAAGGAGCCGTCACTCCTTCCTGAACAATTTCCATATCCAAATGATAAAAAAAAAATCTAAAAATTGTAGAAATGTTTAGAATTTTTCTAGCTACAAACCTGATTTTAAGATCCCCAGATGTCATAGTGGTTTTTAAAGTTTTTCACTTGACCTTGATTTCACCAGCAGATAAAGAGAGACTGTTGAAATTAGGATAATGAGCCATTGGAGTATGCCATCTGCCCAGCCATTGTGGAGTGTTTTTCTAGGCATTCCAGAAAGATTTTTTGGAGAGAAATTTGAATGAGTGTGAGATTTTATAGAGAAAAAAAGCTAAAGAGAAATGTCAGTTCAGAGGAGAATGTGGTAGTTCACACCCATATAATTGGTTCATTTGAAAAATATTGAAGAAGTTAATATTTTTTTTAGTCTGTGTCTAGTCCAGAGTTTCTTACGTTGGTTTGGGTGCTTCCTGTCCTGGTGCTAGGCATTTTCTGCCCTTACAGAGAAGATGAAAACTTCTAGCTGAAGCTCAGGTAGTAAACCAGCTCAGAGTCATGAATTTTTTGTGATTTTGAGAAGTCTGACATCAGCTGTCCTTGTGCTGTTTTAGATCTCAGACGGTTGAAAGTATTTTTTATTTTTTCTTTCTCTTTATTTTCTCTTTCTCTTCCCTCCCGCAAAGAAAATTGAAAAGGTAAGGACAGTTGCTTTAATTATTCATTATGAAGCCAGAATGCAACTATATTCCATTCACCTGTCTAGCCTGTCTAGTAGGAGCCAGTGACCAATCAGTTCTTTGCACAGATCTTAGCTGCCAGGTCTTTGACACTATATCAACGTATCTTTTGTTGATTTTTAAGAGGAGCACTGTGGGAACACTTATTGTTCCTAAAAGAAAGTTCTGTGGAGGCCAGTCTTTCCTGTAGAAGTGAGGCAGGTTGGATGGAGCTCTGAGCAACCTGGTCTAGTAGAACGTGTCCCTGTCCATGGTAGAATGGTTGGAACTAGAGAACTTAAGGGTCCCTTCCAACCCAAACTGTTCTCTGTTTCTGTGACATGAATCTGCTAGTGCTAGCCCTGTTAAGTTATTTAAATGGAAAAAAAGATCTAAGAAAGAGTGGCGATGAGAAATAAAGGGAATGGTAACTGTGCACAGCTGTCAGTGCACACCATGGCAGCCATGCTGATAGGGGTGCTCCACTGTGCCCTGCCTGCAGGGAGCAGGTCTGTCCAGAAAGAAGCACTGAGCTCTCAGTGGTCATATGTGCTAGCAAACATTTTCAAACTCTACCTGCATCCAGTATAAAACTGTATGGCAACATACCTTGCTGTATTTTCGGCTGAACCATGCATCTACAGGAGAAATGAAATCTTGGACCCCCAGGAAGAAGTCCAAGAAAGAATTAAAAAGCACCAAAAACTCAACTATATTAGTTGTCAGACATAAGTTCTGTTGCCTTCTTGGAGGTGAGGGATTTGGTAGTGGTTTATCACAACTAGGTTGGTTCTTCCAGTGCAAGGCTGGCCACATATTGTACTGTGAATTCCACAGAAGGAGTGGGACAAACAAAGCCTTTTTATTTATCATCTTCCTTTTGTCTTTTCTTGGAGAAAAATAAACACGTGCAACTTGGTGGTGGCCTTTCTGGGTTGCTCTGCATTAGGACTGGGCCATACAGCTGGGGGAAGCAGGGGTCTGGCATGGTGCTTGCGGTTTTCTAAAGACATTAGAATTATACTCACGTGAGTAATTAGAACCTCTTACGCTAAACAGTATATTATATTGGGAAAGGAGGATTTGGTGCCTTTAGTTATGCTGATAAGTTCTTCCACTGAAATTTTTGCTACATTCTTCGTTTTCTCTACTTTTTCTTGCAGTTGCATGTTTATGTTTAAAAATAGTCACTGTAACGTATTTGGTCCCTCTCAGCTGTGTTAAGTGTTGGGTTGATTAGGAAGTTTCTCTGAAATGTGTTGCTGAAGGTCACTATCTTGGACTGATGAAGTGCTGCTGGAGATTTATTACCAGAACAGTTCATCCGCTTGAAACAGTGCAATTAATATATTTTTCTGCCTTGGGCTGTTCATCCTGCAGCTACAAAATCCAGTGCTGCCTGTGGAAGGATTTGCTCTCCTGTTGGTGGAGACATGAGTCCTCACAGAGGGTTGTCCACAGTGACGCTTCATGATTCCTTGTATGAGATGCATAATCCCAAGAATATTGTGCTGACATGTTGAAGAACTTTAGTAGTACTTGGTCTGACCCCACATTACTCTGTAAGCCTTATCCATTAAAAGTTTTGTCAGTGCACACTCCTTTTGCAGGTGCTAAATGGCATTGTTGATGTTTTGTTCCATAGCATGAATGTTGAAACCAGTCATGCACTGAAAAGCTCTGCAGGACGGTAATTTGTTTGAGTTTTGTGTGTATATCTTCTTTAGTCATTTCTGTCCTGGGTCCTGGTACAAGTTCAGTGAAGCCCATGTAGTGTGTCCCTTCCTGGTGATTTTACAGTTTAATGGATACTCTCTAGGAAATCTTTGAGACCTGAAGCAGTGTGTTTATTGTGGAACTGGAGGATTGTGACAACCCTTTGTACAAGGGCTACTCCAGGATTAATACTTCCACTTTTGTTACTATGACCTCTTTCTAACACTTAGAAGATGCAATAGGCTATACATTTTTACCATACTATACACTATATAGTGTTCACTATACAATAACTATATAGTTCACGCTGACAGTCATATCATAAATGTGTCTGTTTGAATTACTAGTATTGGAGTAAACCACATGTATGTGAGTTTTTATGTCTGTATACTTGTATCAGTAAAAAAATAAAACTGTATACTTGTTGGTATGGGAAGTAGTGAACTTTCTGGTGCATGCCCTTATGTGTTGTCTGTCTTCTGGAGTTCTCTTAAAAACTACTGTGCTGGTGAGTCTTCCTCAGCTTGGCATTTCTACCCTTCTGCTGACTGTCACCAGCCTCACAGCAGAGAGGAAAACTGCTTCTTCCCTCGCTCCATCACTGCCTTTTTGCGCATAAAAAGATGTGTAGAAAGGCTGCATTCTGCAGCAGAGCTGTTTTCCTTCCAAGTGAATATACTGACTTATTTTTACAATTATTTTTAGCAGATGACACAAAATACAAACGTTTGGATTTTTTTTTCTGTGTATATTTTAATATCTTGTTTCAATCCCAGAAAAGGAGCTAATAATTTTGGAGAGAAAAAGGAGAAGGTGTTGCATATGAAATGAAAGATGTATTGATTGACTGGAAAGTAGTACAATACTTGCCATAGTTTAAAAAAGCATTGTCTAAAATAAGTGCTTTAGAAAAGGGGAAGAGGGCTAAGAAAAAAAAGAAAGAAAAATTTACAGTTTTTCTGTAGTTTTGTGACACCAGTTGAACACTATGGTTCTCCCATTAATATAATAATCATTTCAAATAGATGGTCCTGTGCAGGGCTAAAGGTTGGACTTCATGATCTTCGTTGATCCTTCCAACTCAGCTGATTCTGTGATTCTGTGAAAAGTGAATAAGCAATTCCTAGCAGACCTAAAAAAATTAAATAGTAGGTTATTAGTTGTCATTAGTTTGGAATATATCCTGTCACCTCTCCCAGCCTGGAGGTGTGGAAGGTTTTTTAAGCGCACAAATATTTTGCTCTTTGACCTTAACTCTGAATATGGAAAAACATATTCAGATATGTAGATTCCATATTTTGATGTCAAAATCAACTAGCAGCTGCCCTGAAATAACACTAACATTTGCATGTTAATATTTTCTCTCCTTTACTTGCAAAGTAGCTGACACTGATTCCATGCCCTACTAAAGCTGTGTCATAAAAATAGAGTGGTGGATTTTTTCTTTACAGTATTTTCTCTCTTCTTCATTTGAAAATAGTGAAAAAATCTGTAGCAAGAACTTAAAATGCAGAATTTTGTGTTGTCCTTCATAAGTGAATTAAAAATTGCATTTAGACATTTGGCCCTGTTTACATTTATACATTGATCCACATCATGGATGCATTTCATCTTGCACCTCAGATGCTGTCGTATGTGAGCTTGTGTTCTGAGATTTCCCAGATGACTTTTTAATTAGTTGTTATTATTACACAGCTCATAGATTTTTTTTTCCAGTGCACAGCCACGTTGATTTCATCACTTATCTCGTCTTTCATGTGAAATAATCCTGATTCCTGTTGAGGCTGCCTTGCGCTTCTTACCCTCACTTCTGCTGGCATGGACCAACCTTGGTGTGTGGTTTCCATGACCTTCAACATCACAACAACACTGACCTGTATGCAGCTTCAGTGTTACTGTTATGTTGTGTTCTGGTTTTTTTAATGCCTTTTTTCATATTTTGTTTTCTTGTGTTTTTTTCAGAATCCCCTGGAACATTACATTCCCCCGTTCAGAGCTTGGACAAGAGTTTGGCATTCCGCTTTTGCAGGTACCTTTTTGAATTAAAGTGGGCACTTTTTCCCAGGGGTGATGAAAGGAGGGCAATTCCAGAAGGACTTTACCATGTCTTCTTCTGCTGTCTGGGGTGGTATGTTCTGTTCATTAGCTGCAAATATATAGCTCAGTACTGTTTCAGAAGGATTGAGGCTTGCTCTTGCTGGCCTCAGTCATGCAGCAACTTAAGTGTCAATGTTGCAGAATCCTTTTTGGAAGTACTCCAGTAGTTCCAGGCTTTTTCTCACCCTCTATTCCCAACCTGTACTTTGGTTACAGTCATACCATTCAGTAAGCAGTAAAGGTCTCCTATATAAAAAGCTAATGCTGAATGGAAAAATTGTAACCAAAGTACAGTACTCAGTGCTTCAGAGCTTTCTGTTATTTATTTGGTTTTTGCTACTACATTCAAAACATGGAATCACAGAGAATCACAGAATGGGTAAAGTTGGAAGTGGGCCTTTAGTGAATCTGTGCTGACTACTCCTGATCACCTTCTTGTCATCCATGTGGATAGAGATGGCCTCCAGAATGAGGCGCTTCATCACCTTTCCAGGGATGAAGGTGAGGCTGACTGGCTGGTAGTTCCCTGTGCCTTCTCTCCTGGCCTTTTTGAAGGCTGGATTGCTTTCTTCCAGTCCTCAGGTAGAAGTCCATCCAGAACATGCTGAGCTTGATCTCAAGGTCTGAGCAGGAGATGAGCATTACAGCTTAAAATCTTATTTATCTCTAAAGCTCCTAAAGAAAAGGGGGAAATCCAGTATCTCATCCAGTGGAAAGAGTAGCTTCATCCTTGGTAAATACAAGGAAACCAGCTGAAACCCAGAAGGGCAGGAGGGGACGCCAGCTGTACAAGTAGCACATTGTACCAAGGGTTGTACAATTCTTGAAAGACCAATAGGGAACTTCTGATATTTCACTGTAACAAAGAGAAAAATCAGTAATCAATGTCTTATGTGTCATGTGTCAAATCAGCAACATACTTCACTAATATTTAGTTTTAATTCCACTCAGTAGAAAGCATTTCATGTTCATCTGTTTCCAATCACCATATTTGGCTCGAGAGCATAAATTTGCATCGTGTGGGGTCTTAAATTAATAATTATCACTGCTGTTTTATTTAAAGACAAAAATGTTAAGTCTGAGAGTACACATGGCTAATTTAAGGGTAAAAATCTGTTCCCAGAATGTAGAAATCATCTCAGAAGCCATTTCTGTCAGCTGAGGAAATTAGGAACTTGAAATTCCAGATATGTTGTAGTACAAAATTAAAGGCATAAAACCATTTCAGCTGTGCCAAGGACTGACACCAGGAACATTCAAAGCCTGGTAAGTGATCTGTGTTAGGTTTTGTGATCACAAGTTAACCTACACTAATTTTGCAGTCACATTTCATATTTTTACCTTCCTGATGCCATTCTGTATAAGATTTATTTCTCCCATCCTAGAAATGGGATTCAATGTTTTGTGTTCATACAGATGCTGCAGGAGGTCTGTAGTTTTGTTGGAAATATATTGCTCAGTTTGCCAACAGAAAAGATTGGATTTGTGACTTATGACGAAAGCAGCATTCAGTCCTGGCTGTGGTGACACAGCCAGCCCTCCCTTTTTATTAGCTTTTAAAGAATATCTCGGAACTAGTCCAGATCAGTGATGAGCTGGTGCTAGTGAGTGAGGGACATCTTCAGTGGAGGGACATGGTTCCCCAGCAGTGATGGGGATGGTGTGCTGGCAGGGCAGGTGGACAGGAGAGGTTGCCTTTATGCAGCAGGCATGAGTAGATGAAAAAACAGAGATCAGGTGTCCTCACTTGAGGCTTGGCACCTTGGTTGCTGCATTATATTATTTTTATGACTTAGGCACCTTAGCCCTGAGATACTCTAGTTCAGTTAACTACTTAAAAAGTTTGCTAATACTCATCTCTCAAGAAGTTAAAGCAGTAGCTATAAGATTGGGATATCTCTATCCAATTTCTAGGTTTGGAATAAATTTCCTTTTGTTACTTTGGGCAGTCATACTCAATCGTGTATTTAATTTTCAGTTTGGAGATTTATCTTCGTTTACAAAGAGGGCAGATCTGTTAATGTGACTGTGTATCACAAATCTTAGAGGAGAATGGATATATAGCAATGATGGAGTAGTCTGATACTAGAAGGGAGGGTAGCAATGGAGGAATAGTTAAAACAGTTTTTTTAAACAGTAGGCTATGGCACTTGTGAGGACATGGTCAAGAGCATCTCTAGGTCAGGACTCCCCAGGGACAAGCCAATCATGCAATCAGCATATAAAGGGAGCTGAAACATTGCCAAAAAGAACTGGATTTACTGAGTTTGCTGGATTTACTCCACTATTCATTTTCCTCTTGAAAATGCACAGGGCTCTGAGGCGGGTATCCTTCTGTGATCTCCTCCTGCCAACCACCCCACTGCCAGCTCCTTCGCCACCAGCCTTCTAGGCTCAGTGGACAGTCTGCCCCAGGCACGGGGGCTGCAGCAGAGAGATGTATCTCTTTGCTGCAACCCTAAAGTGGTCTGGGTTAGCAAGAGTTTTGCTTCAGGAGGATCTTCATGCCAGCTTTGTTCCTCCTGCAGGATATATGAGCTGTGAGAGGGGAGAGGAGAGGAGAGGAGAGGAGAGGAGGAAGAGCCCTTGAGGTGTCTCTTCCATTTTCCTATAATCCCTCTCTGTCCTTGTAATCTACTTCTGCTTCCCAACCCACTGTTTGGTGCTCCTTTCTCTATTCCCAACACCTTTTCCTCTCTGCTCTTTCCCTGGTAATTGCATTTCTCCTCTACCTCTCCCTGTCTTGCCATTTCTTGCTCTTCTTGTGTCTGTCCACACACTCTAAATTCCAGCCTTAGGGATTTTTAGTTTTTGTTTGTTTGTTTGTTTTCTTGGCACTGGGATGCCTTAACTCTCCTTTCACTGCCTTCCTCTCTTCATTTAATTAAATACACTGGTCATGACTTGATACAGCTTTTGTTTTCTTTAAGATAATGAGGGTTTTGTGGTTTCTTAAAATTTGTGGTCAGGAAGAATTTCCATCATAACTTCGTCAGACCCCTCAGATATGCAAAAACTATTCAAGAGTCTGATTTCTTAAATGCAACTTTCTAAGAACATTGTTTTAGTGAAAAGTTGTTAATTTAAACAGTAATACAAAAACACACTCCGAGTGTCAAACTTGGATATTAAACTGAAGTTTGGATGCCCATTAACAAGTAGCTAACTGAATGTTCATCTTCAGTTAAATAGGTTGCGAGCAGTTTGTGAAGATCTGTAGTTTCAACATTTGGGCTCTGTGGGCACGTATTTCCCATACAGAAATCAAGAAGGAAATATATTCAATGTATTCTAACATCTCTGCCTCAATAACTGTAGTAAATACTGGTGGTCTGAGGCGTTACACACGCAAGCATGTGATCATGCTGTGCACATGCAGTGTAGCACTTGTGTTGAGTTATACAGCTATATCGTTGATTGCAACATCATAATAACATAGAAGACCTAAACTGCATTGTGTTTCAGAGCCAAAATTGATATTTTTAACCATCAGCTTGAAGTAGTATTAAATATACAGACGTGTCTTCGAGACATAGTGTTATGCAGTCCCTCAGTTTTCTTTCTTGACTTCTAACACCATGTATCTTTAGACTTGAGGCTGGGGGAAAGGGGAATGAACTATTCTGTGCTATGGGAAAATGTCATCTTCTCTAGAGAAAATTATAGCTGTACCAGTCAAAAATAAGAGACCCTTCATGGAGTTGTCCTGAACGTTGCAGTGCCCTGGAACACTGCTGTAAGTCATGTGTGGTTTGTTTTTGTTGGATTTTTTCCCAATTATTAGTTTTAAAAGACTTGATTTGTTTTTACATAGTCAAAATTTTTATAGCACACTTATTTAAGAAAAAAATGTGCCATATTTCATGTGTGTAAAGTTTCAATGCTTAGAAATGGTTAACTCAGGGCAATTAGATTGTTGAAATTACTTTAAAACAGCCGTGCTGACCTTACTGCAGTAATAGCTCATGTTACAGAAAAGGCTGTTTAATACAAAGAGCTTTGGCAAAAAAGATCCCACAGCTAATCAGAAAAGCGGCTCAAAGTTCGCAGTTGTCAGAATTAGGCCACTCTATTGTTCAGCCCTGGCTGAACATTATCATTTTTCTTAAGGTACTGGTTTTACCATACTCATTTTTCAGTTGTACCTACTGTACTACCTATTAAAGGTGGCCTTGTAGGTTCTTAATATCAGTAAGAGACATTAATTGGCTATATTTTAATATTTATTTCTCAAGATGAAACAGTTGTGTTCCTGTATAGAGTTTATTAAAAAGAATTTTCCATGTAACAAGATAAGCTGTTAGGGGAGAAAATATTTAAATATCTATAATCTAGATGGCTTTCTGGTTTCTTGCTTGTAAAATTTTGGCAAGTAATATAAGAAATATTCCATATACTTGGGCACTATTTCTTTCAAATATGTTTTCAGAACATGTAAGAAACTTCAGAAAGGTGCTATTAAACTTTGTTTTGAAACCATGAAAATAAGTATTTTTAAAAGATTCTCTTTCTAATTAAATTTCTAAAGGAAAGGAAATTTTAAGTATGATTTTTTTTTCCATTTATAATAGCTTTTTATGGTTTCTGTTTTTTTCACTGCATAAATTGTTGGAATTGTTTCTCTTTTCTGGGCTGTATTTGTTTACTTTGGGTCTTCATGTGTTTGAACATTTCTGGAGTTTTGTAGGGTTACTAACTGCAAGTGAATGTCTAACTGCTGTTTTCATTGTGGGTTTATGGTTATTTCTCAGACAAAATCTGTTCCTAGCTATGATACTATGTTCCTTTAATGTATTCTTCATTGTAAACAGTTTTAGAGAAGTTTTGACAATAAATAAAAGTCTAAACATGGCAACTTGAGATTTCAGGGCTTTTGGCCTTTTATGACAGTCTGGTAAATTTTTTCCTTTCCCACAAGAAGAAATTGGCAGC